CGTTAAGTTGACTAAAAACGGTCCCAACATGAAAAATATGAAATAATCAATCTCTAAGAAAACTAACGGATTTTACTCAGATCCATCCATCTTGACACCTCAAACATACGAACACTATATAATTTTAAACCTAACTGACTCGCAGTTTTATATTAAACAATAAGTATGAACTTTTTAAAATATGTTATCCATGGGGAATACTTACAAAATCATCTTATTCACGATGTAACAATGAATATTTAAAACTTTCCCGTTATATGTTACCTGTGAAATGGCGCCAATGTATAGTTTTTATTTTTTTGGCGTAAATGAAAGATTGATTTTTTTTCAAAATTGGCGCAAATGCAATGCACCCCCTCTTTGGAGTCTTTCAAAAAGGTAAAATTCACCTGTATTGGTATTGCTGTTGTGTATATGTCACACGTTCCATCTACAATATACGGAAATGACACGGCTGGGTATTGTAAAGTTACTGAAGGACGTTTAATGTCAAATTCATATCCCCGGGCGAAAACATTATTATTTACCGGTTTGTCAAAACGCCGTTTCTACACTTACCAAAGTGTATTGATTTTTCACGCTGTCTAGTCTGAGATTAAAAGTTTAGGCAATTTTTGTAGGTTTTTAAAGTGAACGGAAAATGAGCTTTGCAACAGTGTCTCTAACGATAAAAAAATAATGTGGTCCGTCAATATGACATTTTACAGAGGCAGGTATAAAAATTTGTAAAATTGGTTTAAATATTTCATTTAACAGCAATTTGTAGAACTGATTATTTTGATCCCTCGAATATGTGTAAAATAATGAGTATTTATATTATTTAGATTTTTTCATATAATTGTTTTTGTTTATTGTATTCACGAATTTTATATAAACTCATGACGTTAAGACCTTGACATTTCGTGTCGACACCTGTTTCTTGTTGAAGACTGATTTACCCGGAAAGTCTAAACACCACCTAGGCCGCCTTGGTGCACTAAGCTCTGAAAACTGCACTAAGCCCATGATGGAACAGTCATATAAGTATCAAGGTCATTCAGTATGATAATGTTGTAAATAAAGAGCATATATTTAAATTTTGGTGTAAATGTATTTAGAAATAAAAGAGTTATTAACATTTTACATGGCACGCGCCGACTTTTGTGTAATGTGTCCAGTTATCGGTTATCATAGTGTTGATTGAATCCACCGAAGCTTGACGAATTCATATACACCATTACCAATATCTTTATTCCCATAACCATTGCAGATACATAGGTACAGAGAAAGTGCAAAATATGTACATGAATATGCATCTAATTACAAAACATATATACAAAACAGTGGTTTCCAAATAATATACATTTTAGCTAGGAGGACCCACATGTTTACTTTATAAACTTACATAATCTTTTTAGCTCTGACTTTTTGTTTAATTTGCTCATCAATGTTCTAAACTTTAGTGTATTAACACGAGCCAAATAGTACTTATCAAGGTATAATTTACTACTGTCGTTAAAAAATGGTCATTCTAGCAGATAATGAAATTCGTCTCCAATGCTACCAATATTACAAAGATGACATTTTCTATCATTTCTATTAATATTATTCCACCTCCCTGTCTCTATTGAGAGTCTGTAGTTTGTGGTTCTATATCTACATAACATAATACTTTTGTGCATATCCAAGATATCGAAATATTTTTCAAAATTTAATTATAAAAAATTGTACACATGTCTGATAAGGTTAATAGTACACATATCTAATAGGTCATGTGTACAAATATCTGATTTGGTACAGTGTACAAATATCTGATTAAGTTAAGTTAACAAATATATGATTAGGTAACGTGTACAAATGTTTGGTTAGTTACGGTGTACATATATCTGATTAGGTAAAGCTAACAAATTTCTGATTAGGTAAAGTTAACATATAAATGATCAGATCAGGTACAGTATATAACTATTTGATTAGATACAGTGTACAAATATCTAATTAGAAAAAGTGTACAATATCTATTTAGGTAAAATTAACAAATATCTGGTTAGATGTAGTGTACAAATATCTAATTAGGAAAAGAGTACAAATATCTGATTAGGTAAAATTTACAAATATCTGCTTAGGTAAAATGTACAAATATCAGAAAAAATTAAAAGGTCTTAAAAGAAAACCTAAAATTGTTTTAGGTCGTACAATAGGATAACATCCAAATTTTGAAATAGCAATATAAACATATCATTCCAATTTCAGTGCGTACCATAAGTGTTTTTTCTAGAGAGACAACCTTAGTTTTAGTACACTTATATAATCTACAACTACAAAAAGAAATGACACTTATAAATTATTTGTGTCCGATTTCTGGTTTAACCTTTGTCAGGAACGCTCAAAATCTATGTATTTGAAAGCCAAAGACTAACCGAATACTATATGACCACAATGAACATAAAATAATAGCCAAATTCATATCATGTCAACCTTGCCTAGGAGAGTTGGAACATTAGTTTCTGAATAATTTCTACATTTATATACAGTCAAGTTGAGAAAGATGTGTTCAAAGTCATGTCAATACCGAAACACTGACTTATAAGCTGATGATATCCTCTGGGATTAACAGTCCACCAGCAGTGGTATCGAGTTGGAACCTTAGTTTCTTAATTACTTCTAAATTCATATACGGACAATTTACTAAAGGGATGTGATGTCTTTATATACAAGTATACTTCAGAAATACTGAAGAAATAAAGTTCTGAAGTGACAAGAATAAGAAAGTCTTTTTGTATGTGAGAAACTGAGCAAAAAGAATGAAGGAAAAAATGGAGTTAAACATTCTTTTAATGTTCTCCTTTGACCTTTTCAGGTTCAACGTGTTGTCCCTGGCTATAGACACAACCTGAAAATATTTTCATTATAACATACTTACAATTGAAACGTAACAATTTAGGATGATTCCGAGCACCAGCCAAGGCTATTCCTAACCCATATTTGTTTTTACAAAAGCATAATTTTTAAGTTCTTAATTCTATGAGATATGTCAATAAATGGGCTATCTCATAGATTTTTACACAATTGCGCATGCATCTTGAGCAAGAGGAGCTGTATATGACGATCGGAAATACTGATTATGTAACTTTTAATTCTTCAGAGATATAGCAAATTAAATATCCTGAATAAAAGATGTACAACTGTATAGAATACACAAAAATATCCGTTTTATTGCTAGTAGAATAAGTAGGGACATCGAATTCGTTTCCGTTTTATAGTTATTTATAAGTAGTTGAAGTGTATGTGTAATATCTGGAAACGTCGCAAAACAAAATGTTCATTCACAATACAGTCATGACATCACTGTTCGGTGCTAATGTGTATTCTATACATTTGTACCTCTATGTCCAATTTCTCTATATATGAAAGTGTTATAGTAACTAGTATAAATTGTTCGCGATATTTCATTCCTTTTTTAATTTTCCCATTGTGTTATCGGTTCTTTTTCGACATTTATTTTTCATCATTGCCCAACTGGTATCTCCTTTCGTGTTGAAGGAAAAATTCAGGATAGAAATAGATGTAATTGATAATAAAAATTGACGTGAATCAGATGTGTGATAAATTTTTTTGCTGCTATTATGACCGTTATAATGATACCAAATAAATAGGTAACGAATATTTATCAAACTTTTAAAAAGTAATATCCAAAAAAGGTCATATAAAGGAAAGCGAAAGCATCAAAGCTCACTTCTTAAGAATTTAAAGGTTTCTATATGTTTGGACTAGATACGTTTCACTTCGTTTAACAATGAGGCGTCAGATGATCTTTCATGAATGGACCAGACAATAAAGCTTTACGTGATGATATCCCAAAAGTTCTTAAATATTGCGATAATTAGTTTAAATTGTGTCTTCTGTGGATCTTTTCGGTATCTAATCAGATCTTAATCAATACAAAAAGACTAGCAAAATGACCTCTCATTCATCGTTTAAGTCAGATTCTATAATTGATGTCAAAACATTTGAAATACCGTAATTAGTTGTAAACCTAATAAAGTATTACAGTGCTACCAAACAACAAACCATTGATGAATATTATAATTAGAAACCAGATAAGACATCGTTATAAAAATCACTATGATTAAATAGTAATCTTAAGATAATCTAGATCACTTGAAAGAGTAATAATGTGAACGATTCCGGCAACAAAAAGTGGAAAATTTCAAATATACATCATTAATAGCATTCGAGTTAAACTTAAGACATCCGAATCAGTTTCATTCAAATGCTATTGTTTAGATCTTCATAACCAAATGATTTTTGAGTTTTCCTAGGCAAATCATAGATTAAGCCATTGCTTTATCAACGGGCGGAGTAGATAATTTTTAAGCTATGCTCGCAGTATCTCTAGTTTCTGTTTTACCCCACGTATCTTATTACTTTGCGCTTCCGTGTATTTTTTTTCTTACTTCTCGTGTAAGAATTTGCTTAAAATTCTTAAGAGATCTACTTCGCTCTGTATGACATTCAATTTACATTAGTATTTTACATGTAGAGAACAATTCGTCACGTCAAAATATATAGAATATCACAATAAAGAATGAAAAGATAACTGCCATGCTGTTTCATTAAAGCTGCATGCAGGCAGAGAAGTAAGAGCAATTTATTGCTCCCGAGCCGGTCTTTTTAATTACTTTAGTACCTGTGACAATGAATAATGGCTGATTATCCATGCTTGTATAAAAGTGTATGTGCATAAGCACCTCAATTCAAAAAAATAATGCTTTAAATTTCTTGTTCCTGCCCATATTTTATTTAAGTTGACAGAAATCTAAATTTCTGTTTATTCTGTTTATTTTTTATGTTAATTACGCGAATTCAATATTTATCATCCAAGGTAGCAACCAGTATGGCTATGAATCAAGATAAGTTCTTCTTTGAAATATGTGTACACACTTTTCAGACTTTTTTATCGTTTTTTTTTTTGTATATGTAAAACACAGTGTAGTTTTAACAAATGTTATTTTCATTTGCAGTAAAGAGTAACTTAGCTAGGAAATCAGAAAAGATAGATTGCCTAATCATAGCTATGTTAACGCATGGTAATGCTGACAGTGTTTATACACAGGACCAAGCTGTTCAAGTCGACAGTATTATGAGCTACTTCAGTGCAGAAAACTGTGCAGAACTTATTCTGAAGCCCAAAATTTTTATTTTTCAGGTAGGGAAAGGATTTCTTCAAATTCGGAATATTTTCTTGATAAATTACTTTTGTCATCCTACATTGGAATCTTAATCTTGACAAGACTCTTGTCAAAGCAGTATGCAAAGATGTTATATTCCTGTTTGTTTGGTCGATATAGAATAAGGAGATGGGGTATGATTGTCAATGAGATGAATATGCAACATTGTCTAAATGACGTGGATTTAGGCAACTATAGGTCATCGTATGGCATTCAATAATTAGACAAAACCCATAAAAAGGCCACAACATGAAAAACTGTAAAACAATTCAAAAGAAACAACCAACAGCCTGGTTTATTACAAAACAATAAAACGAAAAACAAATATGACAGACAGCAACCAACAACAATCAATCACTGAATTACAGGTTCCTGACTTAGAACAGGCACATGTAAAATGTGGCGGGGTTAAACATAGTAGTGAGCTACAACCCTGGCTCAATTTCAGACGGAGTATACATACATTATGGAGTAAGCAGTGAATTTTTACTGACTAAAACATTTTACTTCAGACGAAGTATATATGAATTGTGGTGTTAACCCTGATTTTTTTATGACTAAAAAATTAAATATATTTTAACATTCCTTTTAAGGCTTCTAGACAACCATCTCGAAGTAGTGGTGCTGGCATTGGCGATGAAAAAGTACAACAGAAAGAGGTTCATGTTCCCGAAGGTGTAGAAATTGTTCGTATTCCAAATGAAGCAGATTTCCTTGCAGTTTATTCTACAGCATTAGGTTTGGGCTACATACTTTTTTATCCCTTGCATGTGTTTGCGTTGTAATATATTATTAATGAAATATCATCTAATTGTTTTTTCTACAATGAGAAACACTGCACTTTGGTTTTCTCTTCTAAATTTCGTATTGAAACTATAGGCTAATTAACTGAAAGGCGTCTGTTTAAGTCATGTTTATATGAACGGGCAACTAATAGATTCAGCCATTGTTGAAGAAACATTAGAGTTATCGACTTTAGAGGGGAGAGCCTTAAGATTATACCCCTTTTTTAATCATTTTTTTTTCTTTTCTTTTTTTCATGATTAATATCTTTTATTTCAAATCACCTGGGATACATAAATAAAGGCAACAGTAGTATACCGCTGTTCGAAACTCATAAATCGATAGAGATAAAAACAAATCCGGGTTACAAACTAAAACTGAGGGAAACGCATCAAATATAAGAGTAGAACAACGACACAACAAAAACACAACATTAAAATATAACACACACAGAAACGAACTATAATATAACAATGGCCATTTTCCTGACTTGGTACAGGACATTTTAAGAAAAACATGGCGGGTTGAACCTGGTTTTTTGGCATGCCAAACCTCCCGCTTTTATGGCAATGTTAGATATAACATTGAAATGACAACATTACATGACATGACTACAATACAAATAAATGGGAGAACATATAGGACAAAGAAACACACGAATAATAGCTAACAAAAGGTACTAGGTTTAGATTTTAATACGCCAGACGTGCGTCTCGTCCACACAAGACTAACCAGTGACGCTCAGATGAAAAAGTTTGAAAGCCAAAACAAGTACAAAGCTGAGGAGCACCGAGGACCAAAACTTCCAAAAAGTTGCGCCTAACACGGCCAGGGTTTTCTGCCTGGGACAAGAATATCCTTATTATTTAGAATAATATAACGTGAGGGTACCCAAATTGCACCTATTTTGACAGTTTTTTCACCTACGTTTTTTAACGATCCAGACAAAAGTTACCATTCTGTGTTTATTTTGTAGATGTATCCTTTTTTACTATATAGTTACACCAATTTAAATTTTGAATCCATAGTGAATCATAGAAAAATAGGTTTGAACCGACCTCCAAACGATCCATGATTCTGTAATGAGGAGTACCCAAATTGCAACCATGCTTTAATTCACATCCTTAAAAATCGAATAACAGTTGTTTTGTTTTATTTCTTCCAAATATTGAGAAGAATTTGACATTAGTCCATGCTTAGTATTCATTTTTTAAGAAAAAGATGCTTGTAACATATTTTATTTGCTCATTTGTAAAAGATGACTTTTTGTGAACGTCGCATGGCGACGTTCAGTAGATTTTACTTTTTCCAGTGTGCTTCATCTGTTGAAATATATACTGTGAACGTTTTTTGTATATTTGAATATAGTTACCTATGTTAAAAGACGTCTATAATGTCAAACCATAAAAATACAAATTATTTAATCTCAAAGAAGACTTGTAAGATTTTCGCAGCTATTTTTGTTGAATAGGTGCAATTTGGGTACTCGGTGCAATTTGGGTACTCGGTGCAATTTGGGTACTGTGACGTTATACTTTTGCAAACAATAAATTTTATAAAATGACTATATAATAGATATACATGATAAAACTGAAGTGGGGACTAACTACAGAATAAAAACGGATACATTACATAAAACAACTTAATCCAACACATAAAAATACACAGCCGAGTTATCCAAAGCCTCAACGCACAAAGTGACGTCACATTTGAAATTCTAAAAAAAACACACAAAGTGACGTCACATTTAAATTTGTAAAAATATTTCCCAAAAATTAGATAGAATTTAGATTGATTCAAGATTAGATCTGTAATACTGACATTACATTTATTAATAACAATGAAAATTACAATACTATTAATATCAAATTGTGGTAGTAATTAGATAATTAATTGTATTATCTAGCTATGTCGGTGTTTCTTCTGAATCAAAATGTAAACCAAATATATCTATAAATTTTTACTTCGTACTATGAGCATCAAAATTATTTATTTTGTAAAAATATTTCCTTTCTCTATTGGTACTGTACACGTATACCTAACAACAAAATTATTTTCATTTACCTGTGTTTAAAGTTATTACAAATGGCTGATATTTTTGTTCGAGCATATTGTTTTTCTTTAATTGTTTAACATTTCTTACCGATATAACATGTTACTTTTATTATTCTACCCTTAGTTTATTTATTTTGTATTTACATTGTGTCATAGGTCAAATTTATTTGTTCAGTGTATGTTCAATGGTGTTAATATGTCCTTTGATTGAGTTAAGCTATTTCAGTTGATATTTTATAGTGTGTCTTTCTATGTTGTGATGTTACACTATTGTTTCAAAAAAGGGTGAAGGTTTGGTACCATTAAAACGTTTAAACCCACTGCATTTGTTTGCACCTGTCCTAAGTCAGGAATATGATGTTCAGTAGTTGTCGTTTGTTGATGTGGTTCATTAGTGTTTCTCGTTTCTCGTTTTTTATATAGATTAGACCGTTGGTTTTCCCGTTTGAATGGTTTTACACTAGTAATGTTTTGGGGCCCTTTATAGCTTACTGTTCGGTGTGAGCCAAGGCTCCGTGTTGAAGACCGTACTGTGACCTATAATGGTTTACTTTTATAAATTTTGACTGGGATGGAGAGTTGTCTCATTGGCACTTATACCACATCTTCTTATATCTATATATCGTATAAATTTCGTTGAACCAAACTAAAATCTAATAAATGAAGGGGGTGATTAATTATCTTTACCATAACACACGAATATAACAGAAAAGATGTTATGACATTTGACAAAATCCGACGAGAATAACAAATATAACATCAAAATTAAATACATGAATTTGGGATAGAAAAGTACCGTGACACGTCTTATAGCAATGCGGTTTCACACTCAGCAAAACAGTCACAATCGGGAATAAGTCACGTTCGGTAATTAAAAGATCAGACGACGTAATGACAAACCACAATCTAACACGTGGTAAAAAAGTCCTTAGTTAGTTTGGACAAAGAAACATCGTATCCTAAGCAGTATCTGGGCAGCTGACAGAGGGGTCCCTGCTTTTTTTATTTTACTAATCCCATTTGCCAGGAAAATTACAAATGGGTAAAAGAAAATTACTATCTACATAAATATACTCATCATAAATGAAAATTAACATATCAATGATATTGCATGTCAATACTGTAGTGCTGACTACTGGGCTGGTGATACCCTCGGGTAGAAAAACTCCACCAGCAGTGGCATCGACCAAATGGTTGTAAATAAACTCATCATAGATAATAAAATATATTCTTTATAAAAATTAGCATCTGTTTTCAATTAGTATTCTACACATCTTGAAATCTTGCATATTCATATATATGTATCCTTTCGGATCTATTTTAATCAAATAAACATCGACGAAATAAGGTTGGAACCCCCTTTTACACTTTTAAATATGTTGATCAGCGCATTCAGCCGGATGTTATTTCATTAATTCGGCCATGACAGTCGGTTTGAACAATTGCAAGAAGAACAATTCCCCAAAGTAGCATAATACATTTATTCAACAGTTTAAACTGCTTTACCAATGCCTGTATGAACTTGAATTGATATAAATAATTTAAGGCAAATCAACACACTGAAGTGTAACTGTGAAAGCATTGCATTGATAAAACAATCACATTAACAAATATATATTATTTATAAGTTCTGATAAGATGTAGAATTTACAGTAAAATGCATGCAAGTGGAATGTTCCTTTCTAGCAAGTTGTCAGTTTTAGTTTGAATGTCACATAAAGAGTGAAACCTTTGTTACATATCGAAATTAAAGTGTTCATGGGAGACAGCTTGTTTCAGTTGACCTTAAACTGATTTACACCGGAAACTCTTTAATTTCAACACCTATTTTTTTTTAAAACAACTCTTTTTTTTATTAAATAAGATTTTTTTGGAAGACATTTTATTTGATTTTACTTTAAGCTACTATCTTTAAAAAAGTATTGCCATTTTTTACATTTTAATTTGCAGGTGAAAGATCCTTCCAACAGACAGAGAGCGCATCACCATTTTCACAGCATCTAATAGATGAGCTCAAAAATATGGGTAGTGATGAAGATTTCTACAGTGTTTTGACCAGAGTAAATAATCAAGTAATGCAATTTGAGCCTAGTCATGGAGCAAGTAAAGATATTAGACAGATGTCATGTTTTGTTTCACACCTGACGAAGGATTTGTATCTGAGACAGAACAAGACACATGATTAACTTCCGCAAGAATTTCAACATTCTTATGAAAACCATGTTGGTTTGGCTTTACTGTGATATGGTATTCAAAAATGTATTTTATATAGGGGAAAAAAGTTGTTTTGATTTAAAATAAACTGATACATCACTTGCTTTTGTTACATAGTGTTAGGAATTTATCTAGATCAAGTATTTATATTATTCAATAATAATTGTAAAGTAAATACCTTTAATGCTGTTATTCAGTTAAAAGTTTAGTGTAACCAATACTTTATTGTAAAATGAAAATAACTGGTATACTTAAAACAAAAAACAAAATTGATTCAGAAGCAAGCAATTGGTGCTTAAACTAATCTGTTTCCTGTTAATTTCAAGTATACACAACATGAATAGTTTTAATAATAAATAGTTTACAGGGTTAATATTACTGACAGTCTTTTTACACGGTTGTTAATGACTATTTTTTCCCGTATTTACGGTTAAAATGAAAATCCCTTTAACGATGTTCAATTGTATAAAATTAGAGACAAAGAGCTTGAAACTATCTTCAATTCCTCATTCCTCTAAAAAGAGTCTGCAGATTTTATTTTTTTCCTAAAAGCGACATGTTCAGACAAATTGTGAACAAATTCATGAACGATAATTTGATTGACTGATAGATTTATTTTCAAATCAATATGTTACAAAACTATCTTGAAGGTACAATGTATGTAAACAAATTCGACAAGCTAAATTATGAATATATCAAATCTATGAAACTAAAAAAAAAGATGTACAGCAACAAAAATAGATTTTTAGGACAAATCTATTGATTACTTTTTCTTAAATTTTAAAAACGTTTTCCCACGAGTTTTAACGTATTCTCTAAAACTTAGCACATATTTATTATAATATCTTAACAACAAATAGATTAAAGCATTTTTTTCTAATTCAAGCTAAAGTTTGAAATCCCGAAGTTAATTACAAAGTATGTATTAAAGAATGTCTTTATATTACAAACTTTTAATGATATATTTTTTGTATATACATGTCTTTTTGTATAATTTTTTTTTATTAAAATCATAACAAACCGAAGGCCATAGAAAAATATGGTTTTTATTCTGTTCTGAATCTTACTATTATTGTATGTTGAACTTTATGTTTTTTTCAAAAAAAAAATATTATAAATTCACCATGTAGGCTGCTCTACATAGAAGCACTTTGAATTGAGAGTAAATCAACTTTCATCACTTTTCCAGAAATTGTTTCGAATTGTTTTGTTGCTGCATTGATTTCTACTTTTCATCTAGTGTATTTGTTTCATATATTGTATCTGCTCGTCTATAGATGCATAAACTGTTACTGATGTAATTCAGTGTGTATATTAAATAACATGTAAATTTTCAATAAAAACCAAGTCTTGATAAGTGAATGGCATTTGTATTTGGCATTTTACAGGATTTCCTTGGTAACTGTGTGCTTCAAATATTGTAAATGAATTTTAGTCTTAAACGGTTATTTTGATCTTAACTTCATCTTAAAATCAAAGAAACAACAGTAAATTATTCAGTCGTGTTCGGTCGTTCTGTCAATTTTCAGACTTATTCACAGTTGTAAATTCAGTTCTGTTCAGACAATTCGCCCAAAGGCAATTTAGTACTGTTCAGTTCCATTTTATTACTTTTATCTATTAATTATGGAAAAAGAGGACAAGCTGGGTTTTTTTATTCCCCTTTACATTTGGTTGTTACCAGTATTCCGACCATATCCAAGTAAGCTTAAAACTCCAAATGCAGTATTTAATTTATAATCTGATAACCACGTTCATACACAAATTCTGATCCACAATCTTAACATTAGACATAGTGAATTCAAAATCAATATGGATCCTCCTCTTAGCTTATGTGCTGATATATCCTAGTTAGGTGTCAATCCAATATACAGTATTTGAGTTAGCACCAAAATGCCTAATGGATTGGCGGACTTAAAAAGGGTGCCCATTTCAAATTTTCTGATTATGGAATTCATACTAATAACATAAACGATTTCAATTTTACTGCACCAGATGCACATTTCGACAAAAATTTCTATTCAGTGTACTCGAGGACCAAAAAACCAAAAAGTTCAAAAAGTTAAAGCAAAACCCGGGCAAGGGACTAACTGTCCACCAGCTTAACTGATTTGAAATCAATTCTAGATTATACAGACTAGTCAGTTTAATCTACGTTCTCAAAGTTTTTTTTGCCAGAAATTGATGTTACCTATGTTTTAGAATCAAGTTAAGAATACAGCTATTTCTATTTGAATATTTGCAGAATGCCATGTTGATGTAAAGATAAATAAAGAGGGTGCATGTTTTGATTGAGATGATAATATTTTATACTGGTGTTAATGTTTTATTAGTGAATTTTTCTTTGGTTTTGCGATTTCCAAATGAAGATAAGTCAAGATAAGGGCGTCGGACGCACACATTCTGTAGTGTTAATTTCATTTTATAAATGTTAAGTATAACTCTTATATTAACACTCTTGGAAACAAACTGTTCCGTTTGTTCCTGTCAAAGAAACGAAAAATATAGATCTAAAACCAATCCGCAAATATTTGAAACCCTTTTAGATAATTAGATCCACATTATATAAGGTACTGAAAAATCGAACAAGAGGACTTACAATATCTCAGAGTTTTTATTTTTTTTTAATTTTCAATTGAATAAGACGTTCATTTTCTAATGGAATGTCCAGCATGTGATCAACAACGACAATTTATGTTAGATTATGCTTTATAAATACTCATTTATGTTTTAATTTTAAAAATCGAAAGAAAACATACTATTTTGGATTCGTGTATGTGAAGAAGATATTATCAGTAGTATTATCATTATAGTGTATTTACTTATTAATCTCTGTTTATGTCTATTTATAAGCGGGAGGTTTGGCTAGCCATACAATCAGGTTCAACCCACCATTTTTTTCTTAAAATGTTCTGTACCAAGTCAGGAATATGTCAGTTGTTATCAAATAGTCCGTTTCTATGTATGTTGGCGTTTGTTTTTGTAGCAGTTCAGTGTTTATGTTGTTCCGTTGTTTTCCTCTTATAGTTGATGTGTTTCCCTCGGTTTTGGTTTATGACCCGGATTTGTTTCAGTTAAATCGTTATGGGCCGATAATTGATTAAACAAAGTATTCGTATTCGTATTTAGTATGAAAAAACTGAATAAAATCTGTTGACGTATAACAGCTAGGGTAATCAAAAGAAATTGAAAATTAATATCAACTTTGACATAGTGAAAACACTGTTTTATGATCCTTTTAGCTCTTTTTTCAGAAACAGGATGAAGAAAAATTCTTCACTTATTTCCATTCTTCCTTTAGTGCCAAGAAACAGTGTATTAATTTTGCAGAAGGGTCAGTAAATTATATCTTAAGAAATTGTGAAGACACTCATTGTTTTTGAAACAAAGGCAACAACCATTATGCAAAATTTTGATTTATCTTTCAATGCGACATTGTATTTAATACAAATAAGTATTTCCATGTCCAGTCTGCATGTCTAGTAGATTATTTTCAAAACTAAAAGATTCTGCAATTTGGTTCCTGTTAGCTACATTGCTGATCTTGCATTGTCATGGTTCATCTATCAATAAAATTGTTCATAATTAATGGTAAAATTCTTAGAAACTCTTTCATACATATCTTGAAGATATTCAGACAACATCTGAATATCGACCTTATTCATTTGATAACGGTCATTTACTACATCCCTGATCTTCTGTATTTCTGAACTCGTGGATCCATGGCTCAGGAATTTTAATGTATCCCTTATTTTCATGACCAGACAAGACGTCTTGTTTACCAACCCAATCCCTCACAGCAATGATTATCCCTAAATTGGCCGGTATTGTAATATGTTCTATAATTTTGACTCTAATAACGTCATCGATATGTCGTTAGGTTCGGCAATTAATTCAGTGACAACAAAAAATGCAATTGTTATCCCTTTTTGGTGCTGTATGTTATGTCATTTTCACAAATCAGTTCACATACCCCAACAGTACATGATCTCTACAGGTGCTACATCACTAACCATGTGAAAATCTCATTTCCTAATTCCATCACCATTTCAGTTATCTCCTTTCTTGTCGTATTCCCCCCGGCTTCCGCAACTACTACATTTTGTTTCGCTGTCTTCAATTATGGTCGCATATGTTAAGGAATTTTGAAATACAGCTCTTCACTCAAACCTGTCACCCAAGCTCAAGTGTCAATAACTGCCTGGTTTCAACCTTATCAATGACCAAAGAAACAGTAATGATAGCTGCATCTTCTCGAACAATGACAAAATTTACCTCTATTGCATGACTCGGTTCGGCGCTTATTACTTACATAATAAGGTACATTCTACGAAGCTTCTCGAACAACACGTTCATGCTAAGATTCAGATTCATTGTATTAATGTGGAAATTTTAGATTGAAATTTGACTATTAATCAATTTATCTTAGATACCAGGATTAAAATTGTGAACGCCAGGCTAGATGATCCTCAGTATTTTGAAAAACTCAAAGTTTTGTTAACAGTAAATTTATAATCATGACCATTTCAATGGTAGTTCATGTCAACACAGAAGTGCTGACTACTAAAGATGAGTGTCATGGCTCATAATAATTACCACCCTTCTCCAGACAAATACAAGAGTCGAGAAAATAACATGCGAGTGTATTCAGGACCCTTCTCCAGACAAATACAAGAGTCGAGAAAATAACATGCGAGTGTATTCAGGAGGGAACACATACAGCATTGTGACAGTATGTATAAATAAAAGGAGATGTAAATTAAACGTCTATGATACAGCAACCCTACGACCTCTAATAGACAAAATACGTGTGTGTGTACGTGAGTGAGATTGTGTGTGCGTGTGTGATAGAGAATATTTTACACAATGTTTTAAATTGTAAGCTATATACTTTACATTGGTAGTATGCATTATAATTTATGACTAATCTTGGGTTTGTTTTTTTCAATGCGTTTTGTGCTTTTTTTACAATTGGATTTATGATATACGTTGCAAAAATCCTATAAAAATTGACAATGTAGCATAAGATGTCGCAAAACTCCTACAAAAGGATAAACTGTTCCATTAAATGCTGCCGTCTTGATTAAAGAATTTTAGTTGTTCTGAATGACTCCCAACTAACTTACATAAAATGCTACCTGCTGAGGAAAATTAAATGGCACTTTAACATTTGTTGGATAATCATATTCTTATTTCATTATCTTTCTTTGTATGAATGTTTGTGATAGTCTTAAGATTATTGTATGTATGGTATTACTGTACAAACCCAACAAAGTAATCTTAATATTTATCTGTCGACAGAAACTTGGAAAAAAGCCTCTCATACCCACCATTGTTTAGATAATCGACATCCAATTGGTTAATATTTGATAACATACTATTTCTTCCTTGTAATTCACTTTAAATAATGCAAACCCTTGTTGAACAATGGTATATACATAATTTCTTTGAACCAATCAAAATGTAAACTGCCAACGTTTATTTTAGTAGAATGTTTCCCTATTTGTCACGTCTTTTTCTTGGAATGAATAAGATATTTTTATAGTGAATGAAGGAATGACGTTAAGATGAACGTATGTATTTTTATTGTTAATCAATCATAGGGTATAATGGATATCCTTGAACAAATTTAACTATTTACATCGGTTAAATATTTTTTTTATTAAATAGAAAGTTACCAAATCTGGCAGTTTATCCCTTCATTTGACAGATATTCGACAGCTACATGTAAACAAATATTTTTTTCAATGTGTTTACCGGTCACTCTTTGGTAACACATATTTTAACATAGGAATTTATATTTCAATATATTATTGAATGTGACTTTTACAAATTTATATTATCTACTTTTAGTTTATGTTTTTTTTACTTCCTTGTTTCGTCTACTTCTCGGAAATTTACACTAGGTTTCTAGTGCAGATAATTTACTGTTTTAGTCGCACTGTAAATATATATTTCTAATGTTCCTATGAATTGGTTATCACACGTTTAAACTGTTGCTATGCATAAAAGAAAGACAGCTGTATTCAGGTTTAGTAATGTAAGTGTGTTCACACATAACTGTTGTTGACAAACCCCCAAGAATTATGTAGTAACCAGGGAATTCGTTTTGAGGGTGTTGTCACTATGATAGAAATCAATTTTATATATTTAGGTGATATGAACGTCATTGAAAATTTACATCACCTGGTAGTCAGTTTACACATACCTGCAAGGTATTCCTTTGATTGAAATTATGCATGATAATGTCAACGAACATTAAATCAAATTTGTGCAAGAAGGAACATAAAAATGAAAATTCAGATTGCTTAAAAACCTCTTATAAAATACAAATATCCAAAAGAACAAAGGAATACCATCATAATAAATTACATACTTAGAGTGAAAGAAAAATACATATGGTGTTATAGATAAAAGGCAGCAGTAATTATAATTTACCAATGTTTAAATCTCGTTAATCCATTAAGATATACAAAATCATGTAAAAACAAACGAGAGGGAATCGCATGAACTCCATGAACATGACCGGGTGCATCGACATACTTAGTGCCTCCTGATATGCATACATCACCATCATATTTAACGTGGTATTCCGTATTGAACTATGGGGCTATTTCAAACATGAATGCAAAGATTCATACAAAGAAATAAGGGATCTGATTAACCAACAACAATTTTACAGTTCTTTTCCTTGGTTGTGATTATGGCTTCTTTCTGGAAGGCATTGCTATTTTAAGGCTTTGAACATTTTGTACTTTTTATCTTGATTATGACTTATGATTATGAGATAATGTAATCCTGACACTTGAAGGTACTTGAAAAGGTAAAAATTTCAAAGTAAATAATTGGCTTCATGATTTGTTTTATCCCGATGTCATATGATATTTGACACCCGGGTAAAATGTTTCTCATTGTATATTGCCTCCCTTTCTAGGAAATATTTAACTTATCTTGATATAAGGTTTTGTAAAAGTCAAATGTACGGAGGGTTGATGAAAGGTTCAATTGTCCATAGCATGGGAAGGGGAGCAAAATAGCAAGGCTAAGAAAAAGTTTTGTATTATCTTTTCTACACAGCTTTTTATTTCAAATACTTTTTAAAACATTTAAAATTATAATGATCAGACATTGTGACATCTATGTCAGAATTAAAATACTCGGTCGTGTTAAAAATCTTCAATAGTTATCTGGAATTCTTTGTCCTTTCGTCTCGTTTTTGTATTGGTGTAAACAGCACTAACACACTATCAAGTAAATCATGATAATAAACGCAAACTTCGAAATATCGTATCAAAGGGGAGATATATACTCCATATGCATACACTGCTGGAATGTTGCTAGAGTGAGAGGTTTAGCTAGCTATAAAACCAGGTTTAATCCACCATTTTCTACATAAGGAAATGCCTGTACCTTGTGAGGACAGTTGTTTTCCATTCTCTTGATGTGTTTGAGCTTTTGATTTTTTCATTTGATAAAGGACTTTCCGTTTTGAATTTTCCTTGGAGTTCGGTATATTTGTTATTTTACTTTTTTTTTATAAATGGAAGTTTCACAGTTATAAAGCTAAAATCATCTCTGTTGTCGAAATGTTTTGTTCCCATGCATAGTTATTTTCTAGATGTAAGTCAAGATATAAAGAAGACTTAACTGTTTCTGTAGTATCCTGTTTTTTCAAGTTCGATTGGATTTATGGGTTAAACATAGTCACTTAACTTTGAATTATTTAGTCAGAGAATATCGTTTATATACTGAAACGTAAAGTTAAAGGATAATGCTAGAGCTTCTTTGCATTCTACCTAGTAAGCTCCTGTATGAATAAAGAAACAATTCTACAAGAAGAGAATACAGCGGCACACAGTTGGTTCCCATTGGAATCCCGATTGTCTGTTGAAAACACTTCCTCAAAAAGTAACAAATAAAAATAAACGCAATAAAAAATCAAGCATCTAAATGATGCAGTTTCAGAAAATGCTTGTTCGAATCAAAGCCTGGATTATTCCTTCAAAATACACGATAGTGTGTCTACGGTAGCATTTATTCATGAAACAAAGGTTGGGTCGATTTTTCCAATCTGTCTTTAAGTTTAAAATAAGGATTAATGGTCTTAAACGTAGAGAAGTTAAATGTTTTATACAATTGAAAATTGTACTTTTACTTATACTGATATCTCCTCAAAAGATACCAGGTATTGGAGTCTACTCAAGCCTCAAGGTTCAACCTATAAGGATAATGTGACAAATATTTCTTGAAATCAATCTCATAAAATTGAGAATGAAAATGGGAAATGTGTCAGAGACAACAACCTGACCAAAGAGCAGAAAACAGCCCAAGGCCACCAACACAGCGAGAAAATCCCGCACCCGGAGGCGGGCTTCAGCTGGCACATATACAGAAATGTGTACTAGTTCAGTGTAAATGGACGTCATACTAAACTCCGAGACATATAAATGTACTAAAATTTAAAAAAACATTCAAGACTAACAAAGGCCAGATGCTCCTGACTTGGGACAGGTGCACAAATGCGGCGGGGTTCAACATGTTTTGTGAGATCTCAACTCTCACTCTATACCTCTAGCCAATGTAGAATAAACAAACACATAGCAATACGCACAGTAAAACTCAGTTTAAAAGAAGTCCGAGTCCGATGTCAGAACAGGTAACAGAAGCAAAAAGACAATGATACTGTTGCCTTTCTTTATACATAAATTAACAAAGGACTACAAGCAGTTACTGACATGCCATTTCCAAACCTGAATTAAACTGATTGAAAGATTATGTCTTCATCATATGAAAATCAAGCACAATCCCTCCCGTTAGGGGTTTAGTATCATACCATCATAAAATATATGAGAAGAACATAACCCGTATTATGCCAACAACTGGTTTAAGAATAAATGTGTTTATTTCCGATGCAAAGACCCTATGAGTGAATCAATATTAATTCCAAAATATGCCATCTTTAATGACCTGACAGTATCGTAACTATATCCGTTCTGAATAAGTCTGTTTAAAGGTTTGTTTAGCTTTTGAGGTGAACGACGACATTTTTGTGCTTTGTATAGAATATTACCATAAAAGATTGGATGTGAAATACCTGAACATGATCTACATGTCATGTTTTGTCGTGTCATCTTAGGTTTTTTGCATTTACAACCTTAGTAATAATATTTTTATATTTTTATTGTTAATGAGTTAAAATAACACCTTATAAAAATAATTCTCCAAATGTTCTAAAAAACAAATTGAAAAACTTTCTTTTAAGACAAGTCTACTAGCAGGAAGGTCAAATATTCCACTTTGGAAACACATTTGCATATTTCACAGTCTTCCAACATTAGATGCAATGCTATCAATCTTAACTTAGACCTGCTACAAGTAAACTTTTATAACTTTTTATTGAGTGAATATGTTTATACTTTTAGGAAATCGCAAATCAAGACACATTAGATGCCAAACCTGTTCTCATTGAAGAAACACCAACAAAATTGCCAGCTACCAATGGGACAGAACGGTATATATAATGTTTAATAAATCAACTCAGTTCTGCTGATACCCATTACTTTTTCTTAGAATCTAGCAAACAAATTTAAACAAAAAAATAATTGAAATACCTTTGAATTATTATGGTCTTAATATTTTTCAAATTATTATAAATAATCACAAAAATCCTCATTGTACAATTACTGTGCTTATTCAGTGGGCTTTGGGTATCTCAATAGCAATGGCTAAAACAGTTTACCAAATTGCAGTTTGAATTATTCTCCAACAAACTGGTCAACTGGTAAACTATTTTAACAAATTGCTTGAAAGGATGTTAGTATGAAGTAAGTGCATTGAAATAAAAGTAATACTTACCATCCAGCTACAGTTAGTTGATGTCTATGTCATGAATTTCAAACAAAATACTGACTTATAATATGTACATATATAATATGAGTCACTGGTTTTAAAAGGTCCAACTTCGACATGAAAACTTCTATCCTAAATAAATTTTATGAATAAATAGTTCAAAACATTGTTTTGTAGGTCAATTATTTTAAGCTTTGTTTTCTATGAAGAAATTATTGTGTAATTGTGATTTGGATAATATTTTCTATAAGAATTACTGATCTGCTGGCATTAAAGGAAAATAATTTTATTGAGTCATTGTATATTAAAAATTTAATCAAAGATACCAGGCTTATGATTTTGCCTACAAAAGATTCATCAATACGACTCAAATAAAAAAAATAGAAATGCCAAATTAGTACGAAGTTGAAGAGCATTGAAACAAAATTCCGAAAAGTTTTGCCAAATACTGCTTATAAATAATCTAATCCTTGGTGGTAGATAATCATTAGTATTTTGAACAATTCAAACTTTTGCAAGATAGTTAATCTATAATTTTGACCATATCAATGAAAATTCATGTCAACACAGAATTGCTGACTTCTGGGCTGGTGATACCTTCTTAATTTACAGAGGAATCTGTATGATTTATAGAACTTTGAATGTGTTCCATAATATGTTTTTAACAGTTTTTTTCAAAATTTTAATCATCTAAAAAATAAATTTCAGTGTTCTTTTCAGAACAGGGGATAATAGTTAAATAATCTTGGAAATAATGTTACAAACAAATTACTTATAAAATAAAGGAAGTTCATATTTGACAACAAAATTTTGCTGATTTTACAGTAATGTTAATTATTTCCCTTTAATATTAGCAGATTAGTAGTTGCTTTAGAAAAAATTATCCAACTTTCAATTACCCACTAACTTGCTGTTAGGAAACAGAGCTATAAATTATTGACCTACAAAACAATGTTTTGAACTATTCATTTATAAAATTTATTTAGGATAGAAGTTTTCATGTCGAAGTTAGATCTTCTTAAATCAGTGACTCATATTATAGTAAGTCATTATTGTGTTTGAAATTAAGGACATAGACATCAACTAACTAGAGCTGGATGGTAAGTATTACTTTTTATTTCACTGCACTCACTAAATACTAACAACCGTCACTGAAGCAATTTGTTAAAATATTTTGCCAGTTGATCAGTTTGTTGGAGAAGAATTCAAACTGCAATTTGGTAAACTGTTTAAGCCATTGCTATTGAGATACCCCAAAGCCCACTGAATAAGGACAGTAATCAGCCTTAAGACTAATTTCTACTTTCTACACAGTGTCACAAGAACGTTAAAGTAATCATTCTTATTCTCATTTACATGCAGTTTATTGAACGGACATGGGATCTTGTGCAGACTGAATACTTTATTAAAATAATCATAAAGAAATCATAAAGAAGTCAAATGAACAATTCACAAATTATAAAAGATTTTCGTCTTAGGTAAACAATGCAGCACTGAACACTTCTGCTGGTGTATAATTATTGTAACCTTTGAATTAAATTTATTTACAAATAAGTTTTAAGATTTTTTTTGTTATAGTAAAAGAAATGAAGGAATAATATACGAAAGCCATTTGAACCAAGAAAGTTATACAATTAAATCTGGAATAGCAGTTGTGATCAATAACACAGAATTTGATGCCAGATTATGTTTATCTGATCGTTCTGGAAGTGATGTGGATGCTTCATCTCTATTCCAAAGATTCATGGAACTTGGCTTTGAAAGTGATCTTATGAATGATGCCAGTAAGGATGACTTGGTAGAAAAGTTACAAGAAAGTAAGAATAAATTGACAAATACTGGTAAATTTGTTTGTAAAAAGTTGGGGTTTTTTTTTGTTCAAACCTTTTTAACTAAATTTTCAGAGCTTCACAATCAAAGCACTGCAGATGAGATGGATTCTTATAGTTTGATACGCATGATTTTGAAACAAACTTACAAATATGATTTACTTTGTTCCGATCAGGCAAATACATAGCTATTACAAAGCAATTATTTATCTAAATTGATGATTTATGAATTAAACTACTTAAGTTTTCAAAATTGAAGAGAAATAATTAAGACACCCTTTACACAGCCTAACACCTCATTATGTTCATCATTGTTAAAGCGATTATGCCAAACTCTAGTTACCCTTATATTCTTTATGTTATGTTATTATTACAAGTCAAACTATTACTAAAACGTTTGTATATATATAGAAAATACTATTTTCAAAAACAATGGGAAACAAAGTTACTGTTAACTCTCTAAACCAAATAATTTGCCTACTATTTTAAAATTTTACGCCATTTAAGGTATGAAGTTGCTTTATTTCAATTTTGTTTTATCTCCTACATCATTCAGCAACAAATATCAGCGTGAAAAGATACAAACATCAATTAGCATCAAACATTTCAGATAAGAAGTCAAATTTACATGATAAACATTGAACGAAACATTATTTTTCATTTAAGTATCCACAAAATTAATGAGAAATTTACTCTTATCTGTCAAAACCATCACCAGTGTTTTTGAAAACATCGAGGACCTGCCGTTGAGGACTACGGTGTTTGGATAACTGTTTAGTATTCTGATCCAACGGCATCAGGCGCGAGGAGGATTAGTTAATAAATTTAAAAACAATTGTTTCAAATGTTCATCATAGAATAATATATATTTTGCATAAACAAAGGCTTAGATGATTATGTATGTTTATTGTTGTAGTTATGAAAGACAAAAAACAATTATCGAAAACAGACTGCCTGATCGTCGCTTTGTTGACACATGGTAATGAGGACAGCGTGTATATGACAGATACATGTGTAAAAATGAAAGCAGTAATGAATTACTTCAATGCAGAGAACTGTCCAGAGCTAATTCTTAAGCCCAAAATATTTATTTTCCAGGTAATATAAGTTAATTTTAGATATCGCTCTGTGGGAATAAATTTTCGTTATAGTCTTGCAATTGATTTCTGTATTCGAATAATTTGAATAATACATATGTAACTGGCTTCCTCAGAATACATGCAAAATGCTTATAAAGACACACAAAAACGAAGGCTATTTTCTGAAAATGTTATGAAATTGTCAGATATTTTGACATTCATGTATCTCGTAGGCGAAGCTTCCGAAGAAACTTTTAATGAACAATATGAATGTGAATGCGTTAGAGAGGACTTTTTTCCCGGTGTAAAAAATGTAACAATGTTATCGTGGCGCATGTGACGTGAGAATGGTATTAAAACAAAGATAGTCTGTTCTTAAAGTTAAGTGATTTGACATCTATTTATAATTTATGATGATATTGACATTGGCAAATACAGATAGTGTTGTATTGAAATTTGCTGTTTTAAAAATAATTGAAATGATGTTAAATTTAGGAAAGCTTTTACCTCATGCATAGCAAAACTATATCAACTTTACGGTAACCTAATTATATTACTGGTTCAATACCTCTGCTGACCGATTGTTAGTCCAACAAGTTTTACCAGCCAAGTAGCAAGGACTTCGGTACTGGCATGAAAATGCGGATATTATTTCATTGAAATTTAATGGCTAAAAGTTTTGGAAACCATTTTAAATAAAGGATTATATCTCCTTCATTCAAATATTTTGGCATCTGCCACACCTGAAAAGACATTTATTTTCTAAATACTCGTCACCACTGAAAAGACATTAATTTTTCTAAATTTTCATCTGGTGCAGTTAAATTTGTACCATAAATGTTATTGCATACTTTATAAGACCCTCGTAAAATGTGTTTTAAGACTTATGATTAAAACTAAGAAAACAAACAATTTGTTCCAGAAATAATAGAGGTACATTTCCCCGTGTCGCTTTATGTACTAATTTAAATGTTAATCTATTACATTTGATCATACTTATGTATGTCCATCATGATCAAAAAGACCTTTATTTTTAAGTCTATGTTTCAAGAGCCTAATATTCTTTATCAAGGATATTTTACCAGTATAATCCATATGTAACCAAGTATTTATGCATCACTGACTTTCGACTGTTTTTGGTTTGAGCATTCCTAAAAAAGTTATTAACAAATACAAATACTCAAAGGTAAATTCAAAACGGTGGAAGTCCATAAAACCTGACAAAATCAAACGTTGGACAATATCAAACGCTTCAAATGTATAAAATGTATAAAGGATTATTTCCATTTATAAGCACTTGATCGATATCGCTGCTGGTGGACTGTTAGTTCCGATGGTATCATCAGGTTAAAATGAAGTAATTATTTGCATAGGCAACAATGGTAGCCTTTTTTGGATTCTGCGTTTTTACTATAGAAGATTTGTTGAAAAACGGTCAAATTCTGAATTTTTAACACCTTTGGGTGCTAATAAAACTGAAAAAACACATATGGCATTTTTTAAGGGTACTCTATGGTTCCGGAATTTTCGAAATAGTATGAATAAAGAACACACCTTTCTTAATTTTGCTAAGAAAATTGTGCATACCACCAAAAGTCTCCTCCAAACTTTTGCTATTTCTACAACAATGGCCAACACTCATTTCTCACTATTTCAGTTTTCTTTTCTAATTAACAGGTCAGCAGAAAATAAATTGACTTCTACCTATTATCTTGGATTTAAAAACTTGGAAGCGCCAGTCATCTTTAATTAAGTCCTTTTAACTACAGCTCATTAGCTACTGCTGCGGTACGGACATGATTTATAACCTACAATACCAAAATTAACCGTTGAAAAACTACCTAAGTATTACGAAACTGAGATTCAGATCTATCTTCGATCATAATTCGGAAATAATGACAGCATCTTTGGTTTTTCAAATATTTTGGCCTCGAGCATCACTGAAGTGACATTTATTGTCGAAATGCGCATCTGGTGCAGAAAAATTGGTACCGTTAGTGTTATTACATGTTTTAAGTATAAAATAAAACTAAAAACTAAAGATTAAAGACTAGTCAAAACTTTCTTTTAGAGAAAGAAAAACAAGTTGATTTTACTGATTTATATAACAATTATTTTAGTGTTCTAGAAGATCAGATTCAAGACGAGGTGAAGATATAATTGTTGAGGATACACTAAAAAGCAAGGCTTCTATTCCAAATGATGCAGACACTGTTCGTATTCCCAATGAGTCTGATTTCCTTGAAGTTTATTCTACGTCAATAGGTGTGTACCTCACATTTCTAAAACATTGTTGTGTATTATTGCAACTATTACAACTGAAACATTTTCTATTTTGTTTTTTTCTCATTTGAGTAATATGTTCATTATCCAAATTTTTTTATCTCTTTTTTGCTGTTCTGTTAGTTAAATCGATGTTTTTTCTCTCTATTATTGACTTAGAGAACATGGGTGTGGGGTGGAAAGCGCTATTAAAAGAGGGAGTACAATTTATGTAAAATTGCATCCATGGATTTAAGCAAGAACGCATAGGATAGGAGGAATTTAATGGAAAACAAACGGAGAAATCAGAAAGAAAGAAAATAGGTAAGGGTCCATGCCTCATGCGCCGGTTTTATAGAGAGTACATATCTACAATTGTTTGTACGGGCATTCAGCAAAAATAAAGTATGAAGCTAGATATAATGCACGTAAGTCACATAATGATTGACATTCGTAGATGCAAACAAAAACCATTATTTTAAGGAATCCTTGCAATCCTTAAGAAATATCCTTTACCAAAGCAATAAAACAATAATCTACTCTGATTAAAACTTTAATTGACGTCTCCACCTGACAAAAGTACTGTAAAAACCGATCCTTGAAATAATTTATTTGAGAAAGGGTAAATCAAATACACGGTAAGGCTTTGGAGTCACCACCTCTTTGTCTAAAACCAAAACTCAAATGGTTAAACATCTCGCTTCAGATTTCATTATTTCTAAGTATCAAAGCTACATTTTTTCCTTGGAGTTCGGTATTTTTTTTGTTATTTTAGTTTTTTTTTATAACTTTCAAATAACATTTCAATAAAACAAAAAATGATGATCATATGTCAAATAACTATGTTATAAAGTGTAATTTTCAATTTTGTATAGATCATCGAAACGTATTATTTGTTTAAGAATAATAAAAATAACCCAATGCTACTATATAACTGTTAAAACTTTTCTTATATTTTTTATGTTAAAATTGCAACCGGTTAGAAAACATTCATTATGTAATCTGTAACTATTTTCTTCAATTCCTTAAACATATTTGAAAAATATTCTTTGGCGAGAAATTTATTTATTATTTTTTCAGTACAAATTCTGAGTAGAGGATTTTTAAATAAAATGTTTGATCGTTTATTTCTTAGTATGTTTAATTGGAAGACAATTCTAGCGAAGGGGAAATCTGCTTGGGTGAGAAAAAAAAGTATGAACAAAAATTTTGAACTCCAAGATAAATCCGAAAAGGTGACAGTTTGCTGAGTTCTAACTATGTAATTTTAGTTTCATTACTTAAATTGAATAAAAACTATTTGAAAGGAAATTGAGTTACATTTATAATGTTTCAATTGTTCATGTCCGAAATTTATTCAAACAGGTGATAGATCATTCCATAACACAGAGTCATCATCACCATTTTTACGTCATCTAATAGAAGAGCTACATAACATCAAGGTAGACGATGATATTTACAGAGTTTTAACAAAAGTAAATAGCAAAGTTATGACATTTGAGCCTGGACATACTGAGAGTAAAGATATGAGACAGATGCCATATTTTGTATCACACCTTACGAAAGATTTGTATCTGAAACAGGTCAACTAGACATATGATGACCTTCAGCCAGGATTACAAGTCGTTACACTAGTCGTTAAAATCAAGCTTTCCATATTATATACGAAATTAAAACTGTTTATTTTGTTTACTATTATATATTAACAAGAACGTAAAATATTTCTACGATTTTGATTAGATATAGAATAAGGTGATATTCGCATATGACAAACTTTTGTTAAAAAGTGCTATGAAACTTTTCTCAATCTAATATGTAAAAAGTATATATTATAATGATCGGTACAAGGAAAATTGTCCTCGTGGTGTATCATATTGCACTGCAACTGTTAGTCAACATATTATTTTAATTTTACTGTCGTTGCTATAATCCGTATTTTAAATGGTTCGGATTAATGATTTTGAAAACTATAAATGAAAGAAAAGTTCATCTTTTCATCCATATCAAATATTAGTTCTGTAATTTCGAATTATAAAATTTCCTCACATCTTATAGGATTTTTACACCATTATGAGTTATATTTTGCTACTCGAGAGACATTGAAACAGTGAAACGAAACATTCAGTAGTATTCTAACATAATTCTATTTTATAGGTTTTTCCTAGATGTCATTCTGAAGTCCTGTCGCTTCGTAGCTTCACAATTACTACTTTCTAATATATTTGATTTTGTATTTACATTGTATCATAGATCAAATTCATTTGTTCAGTGTATGTTCGCTGGTGTTAATATGTCTTTTGATTGAGTAAAGCCATTTCAATTGATATTTTATAGTGTGTCTTTCTATGTTGTGATGTTACACTATTTTTTCAGATAAAGGTGAAGGTTTGGTACCATTAAAACGTTTAAACCCGCTGCAATTGTTTGCACCTGTCATAAGACAGGAATCTGATGTTCAGTAGCTGTCGTTTGTTGATGTGGTTCATAAGTGTTTCTCGTTTCTCGTTTTTTTATATAGATTAGACCGTTGGTTTTCCCGTTTGAATGGTTTTACACTAGTAATTTTGGGGCCCTTTATAGCTTGCTGTTCGGTGTGAGCCAAGGCTCCGTGTTGAAGACTGTACTTTAACCTATAATGGTTTACTTTTATAAATTTTGACTTGGATGGAGAGTTGTCTCATTGGCACTCATACCACATCTTCTTATATCTATATATACTTTTAACTACTGGTACGAATCAGTTAATAAGGCGTTACAGAAACCGGAGAAAGAATGACCGAAACCAACAATTCAACAATTTAACAAAATGACGTTTATATTACAGATATACAAAAGACTTACTCACTCTCAAATATGATTTGTACAAAATTAAGTATACTGTATGGTTTGTTGATTGAAGTTACTTACAAATGAAAGAATTTTCGAGTTTATAATCCACGTAAGGCTTATGAATATAATGATACTTCCAAAGTTCCAAGTTTGATAAATTAGTTAGTTAATAATTCAGGCAACAATAGTTTACCGATGTTCAAATATTATAAAACGATTGATAAGATACAAATTAAGGTTAAAAAAAACCAAAAACTGAAGGAAGGCATAAACTCTAACAAGAGTCAGACCGGGTACGTCGATATGGGACGTCTCTTGCTATGCATGCATCATCCGTCGTGCAAATCTGTTCTCAGTCAAAATGTCGGAATCGGGAATACGACACAATCAGTCAGTTTACAGGAAAGACGATTTTTCTAGAACTAGTATAAATAGATAAAAGTGAGAGAAACATGGTACTATGTGTATTCTTGTTTTTCATTTTTGCTTATGTGCTTTGTCTATAAGCCATTTTGTTTTTCTTTGTTGAAATATTTGTTTGGTTTTATAGTGATTAAGATTATAACACAATGTTGACTGCTGTATCCAATTTTTGACATTTTTACCTATTATGTCTGTTTGTTTTATTCACACATCGTTGTTAATATAATGGAATTTTATACGACTGTCATACAAGTCAGAGGTTTAGCTAGCTATAAAACCAGGTTTAATCCACCATTTTCTACATAAGAAAATGTCAGTACCACGGTAGGAATATGACAGTTGTTATCCATTCGTTTGATGTCTTTGAGCTTTTGATTTTGACATTTGATAAAGGACTTTCCGTTTTGAATTTTCCTTGGTTCGATATTTTTGTTATTTTGCTTTTTAGTAGTTGGTTATGACACAGACATATCGTGTCGGTCAACCAATTCGTGATGGTGACTTTAAAGGTTGTGTATCATCGATTTCAGTAATTCTTCTTCATAACTCTGTTGGAGCAGTTTTCGTGTAAGGAGCACACCTCTATCAATGCAATCCGTATAGTGTGAAAATGCACACGCGTAACGTAATAATTGAGATATGCATACGTCAAACAATGGGGCAGAGAGTATATAACTGCTGAGAACGGAAATTGAAATCATCACGTGTGTCATAAATTCTAGTTTGAAACCGTCCATTAGTGTCAATATCTAGTAAAAGATCAAAATATGAAGCAGAAATTCTGGTTTCCATAGTATCCTTTCATTTCGAGCTCACTAGGATATATGAGATTCAAGCACTCATTGAAATGTGGGTTATTGAGCGACAGGAAATTATCATTATATCTGAAAGTGAAATCTGAAACATATAATACACACAATATGTTTCTGCTAACACTCAACAAAATATAAAACCTCTATCTTAAAGATTGTAGAAAGCAGTTAAACAGGCAAACAATGTCTTATGTGTGGGATGGATGGACGCACGAGTGACATGATGGATTGAGGAACAGACAGAAGGATGTAAGAAAGGACAAACTGGGGTAAAAGAATATGCCACTCCAAACACATTTTGTTGAGAGGCAGAGCTCTGGGGATTATATTGGTGTCTCGGGTAGATACGGATGTGATATTGAAAAAGCCATATAATATTCTCTATTTATAAAACACCTACTTTTATTGATGTTTCCTGGTCACATATACTTCTCGGAAAATAGAACAGAAGTTTGGAGTACAGGTATGAACACTTTATTATTTTAAACCTGGTGTATATATATAATTTTATAATTTTGAAAAATGAAATATTTCTTTAAAATTTTTGCGTAAAAAAAAGATTATATAATTTGCCGTAAACTCAACAGTTGACATGTCTTAAAGGATGATTTCGTTGTGTGATAGAAATAATTTCATTCTGTAAGTTGGTTTGCCTTGATCTTTTGTTTTGATATTCCTGCTGTTCTTTTATAAATAAGTAAGATTTACCATACGCCTGGACTAAATTAGTTATAATCTATTAGTAATACGAACAAAAAAGGAACATTCTAAGACGACATTTTGTACGATAATGCCAGCGAACAGAATAAATTAAAGAGAAAAGATCATAGACAAAATAAGAATACCAGACTATTATAATATAAAACACCAAAAAAACTAATATATTTACGATATAAGAATAGTGTATCTTTATTGTGAGAGATGTCAATAAGTTCCAGTGTTAGCAATAAAGATCTTTCCTAAACGATACATATCATTGTCTGGCGAAGACTGAAATTTAACTTTGCTTTACCTGGAAATCTATTTTAAAATAAATTGTCTGCTAGACATTTAATATAATTTGATTATAGACAAATATTTTTCAATAATATATTCCCTAGAAGGTCAATACATTTATTATTTTTTTCATGGAATAGGTTATGTAGCAATATAACAATAAATATTTTTTTGAACTGTTTAGCTAGCAGACTTTATTTTTTTCTGACATACTTTATGAAGAACTTGTCAGCTATTTTAAGATCTAAAGATCAAGAAATTTTGATATTTGAAAAATTAAAAAAAAACAATAAAATAAAAATCTTTCATACTAAAAGTGACCTTAGAATTTTACATTATCATTATCAATGTAACAAATTTCGGAATAAGTGATTTGCGGGAAAATTACGTACAAAAGATAACTTTTATTGCACAATAATCAATGTTACTATTTTGATTAAATTTTAGAAGTACCTATTGAAAGATTCTACCATTTCGACATTTTATATTTTTTCAAATTATTCAGTACCATATTTAAATGATGATTTGGAGTGGATTTACAGAATAGAAAATAATGGGGAAAGAATAGAAAATAAAGGGTAAAAAAGATATGGAATAGAGACAAAATATACAAAAACAATAATAGAGAATAACGTGGTGCTGAAATATAAAATAAAGGATAGAATAATAGGCAAAAAAACTTAAGAATAGAAAAAAATGGACTAAAAATTTAAAACATGAAGATACCATTAAGACACTCGTTTATGTGTGCAATTAAGCTGGGTACATATTAACTTACGTACCGGATACATTGTGTTTGCTAATACCATGGAGACATGGTTACAATTTACCATAGATGCACATTTAGATAAACTAGACCTTTTGTCTGCTGTAAGTTTTAACCATGTTGACAACCTCAAAAGTATGATATTTTACAGGATTTTACCAGATTGTCTATTTTCTTTGCATTTGTAAGGTCTATTATCTTCTAGAAAACATTTGACACACCCTTCGACCAAAATAAATTGGGGCCTTTTATAGCCGACTATACGGTATTGGGTTTTCTCATCGTTGAAGGTCGTACGAGTTACTATAATTGCTTACATCCACTTCATTTGAACTTCGGTGGATAGTTATCTCATTTGCAATCAAACCACATCTCCTTATTTTTATATTGTTATACAAAGATGTATATATGGATCAGATATACGTCCTAAGAAAACATTATTGTGGTTCATGCACGTGGCCAATGTCATTTGAAGCAAAATCTATTAAAATTAAGCCATAAAAGTAGTTAAAATGCGGATTTACTTCATAAGACTGCACAATTATGACGTCATAACGTCGTCATAACTGTTCTTATTCGTCAGAATGTGTTGATTTTGTCATTTTTTTAAATGTACGTTTCTTTGTGTGATATGTATACATATGTGTCCGGCTGTACGCACTGGAGAGGTTGCAGCAAAGAAACGTAGTAAAAGAATATCACGCTGTATACACCTGAACAATTCCTGGTCCTCTCAATAATGCAATTGCTTTGCACTCGGTATTATCCCCTTTCTTTCCATGCATACACTTATAAATGCCACATAGTCGTATATAAATAACTTTCGTTCTAACCATGCATGTTTACGGATTGTTATTTTTTTAGTAGTTTTTATTGGCTTTGAACTAGTGTCAGTAACTGCAAGTACTCTCAGATCTGTACTTAGTGTCTTTTTTATTGTTAGGGATGATGGATGGATAGTATATTATAAGAAACATTTACAAGATCAGCTTGCAATCTCATTCACAAAAGTAGCACGTGTTTTATTGATCGTGAAACCGCAGGAGAGATTTTCTGAATAAACAATTTGTCATTGCTTGAATAAAAAAGATTCCTTACCTGAAAAGGAGCTCATTCCATATTGAGTTTTTTTTTCCCTTTTCTGGAGAAGCAGCTGTTCAATCTTTTCTGTCACTATGAACCGGAAACGAGATTCAATTGTATGAAATTACTGGGAAAATAACACATTGGTTGACACAGAGATTTGTTTCGCTTTTTGTAATTTTGAAAGTAAAATGCAAATGTTGAAATTAGAATGGCAATATTTAAAAATATAGTGCACAAACAGAAAAAAGATAAAAGAATGAAGATTTGTATAACGATACTGATAAGAGATTACTTTATACGAATAAGAAGACAGTATATCGCATTGACAAGTATTTCAGCACAATTAATAGGCTTTTAATGGTGTGTGTGTGTATGTGTGTTCTCTTCATTATGTCTGGCTACAAATAAATGTCT